GTTTGAGTTAAAGGCAACTACAGGTGGGGAGTTTAGGGAAAGGGCTTCTATAAGGCTGCTATAAGGTATATAGACCTTCTATAAGGCTCCCATATATATATATATATATATAACGGTAACTACCCACCTCAAAATGTCCTAGATTGAGGCTGGATGTAGCATGAGATTTTGTGGCACCAGCCAACACCGGTACCGAACACCACTCTAAACACAATATTGAACAACGAAGCCTAAAGCAGGTTATGCCTGTCCTAAATCCCTAAACATCCCTAAACCCAAAACCCAAAGCCCTAAGCTCAAAAGCCATTACTGCGCAAGCCTCCGACACGGAGTTTAGGGTTTGGGGTGGCCTTAACCTCTCTCGGCGGTAGGGTTTAGGGTTTAGGGTGGGTGCCCTAAACTCCAGACGGTTTACGGTCCAGTTGGGGTACTTTAAACACCCTTGGACTTAATGTAGGGGCCTTAATAATTCGAATAGGGTTTCGGGGTATATTATACTATAACCATAATGAGGAAGCCCCGGAAAAGTATAGGTAATTATGAACACCCCTACATTACAGGGTCAGGGCTTAGGGCTTAGGGCTAAGGTCACCATCGACATCGACGAGCCCAGGTCCTGGCCCGCCTCGCGCAGGAGCCGCCCCAGCAGCCATGCAGCCGCAGCGCCTCGATCCCGAAACCCTAAACCATAAACCCCTAAGCCCCTAAACCCTATAAACCCTAAACCCCGAAAACCCTAAACACCGAAAGATTCTAGTACCCCTGTAGTGCCCTTGCAGTACCCCTGTAGTAGCCTTATAGTACCCTCATAGTACCCTTATGGATGCTTAGGGATACTAGTCGATAGCCAACATTCTGCCCTTCCGCTCTGTAGGGCTCCCTTCGGCTCGCTTATGCTGGACAGCACAGACTTACGTGCTATGCTTCACATCCGTTGGACCTTATTATAATACGCTGTACTACATTCTGATACATGATAGTATGATATAACATATTGCAGTATACTATGGTATTTGTATAGTATAGTATAGTATAGTATAGCATAGTACAGTATAGTATGGTATCGTATAGTATAGTATAGTACCGTATAGTATAGTATAGGACAGTATAGTATAGTATAGTATGGGTATAGTACAGTATAGTAAATAGTACAGTACAGTAGAGTAGAGGCTAGTATAGTATCTACGTATCTACCCCAAGTAACTTTAGCATGCCCGGGCTGATCGGATGGGCTAAGGTTTAGGGTTTACGGTTTAGGGTTTAGGGCATTAGGAGGTTTAGGGTTTAGGGCTTAGGGTAATGGCAACCCTAAATGCCGAAACCCGGAATCCCACACTCAACTTTCCCGCAAAACACCGGCGCCGCCTTCCGCGATCCCCCAGAGAAGCAGGCTGCAGCAACGATCCTGCCGGCAAGGGTTCAAGGGGCCCTACTCCGGGTTTAGGGTTTAGGGTTTAGGGGTTTAGGGGTTTAGGGGTTTAGGGTTTAGGGTTTAGGGTTTACGGTTTGGGGTTTAGGCTCCCTAAGCCAGAAACAATAGAACTAGCTTTGAAACCCTGAACCGACAGTGTTTGCATGGGGTGCTCCAGAGTGGACCTAAACGGATCCTTGCTACAGTATATATAAGATGTATGCAAATCCCGCGTAGTACGGTTTAGTACAGATTAGCACAGTTTATCCTAGGGTCCTCAGAAGGAACCCGAAGCTAGACGAGTCAACACGAAGCTCCGAATTTGATTCCGCTGCAAGCACCCTACACCCTAAACCCCAACCCTAAACCTCAAACCAGGGGAACTCTGTCGTCCTACAACCAACCCTAAACCCTAAACCCTAAACTCAACTCAGCTGAGCCCGACACCAGAAGCAGGTAGCGGACTCGGCTCGCCGACTGAAGCGAGTCCAACATGCGCAGAGTCCTTTGCGGCTTTGCGTTTGGGTTTAGGGTTTAGG